CCCCTTCCCCCCTGTGCAGCACCGTTTCTCAGCCGTGATGCACTTTGCGGGGCTGAAGGCAGTGGGGGAGTCTGTGCAGAAGCCTCTGGAGTACTACAGGGTGAACCTCACCGGGACCATCCGGCTGCTGGAGGTGAGCAGGGCCAGGAGGCCACACGGGTGCTGGGTGTGATCCTGCTCTGGGGTGGCTGTGCTGGTGGGGAGCCTGGTCCTTGTCCCAGGGGTGCCACGTGCTGTGTGGTGGGAGCTGCTCCCTGGGGAGGACTGAGCTGCGCAGCTGAGCTGGAGGGCGCAGAGCTCGCTGGCTCAGTGGCAGTTGGTCTCTCCTCCCCAGACCATGAAAGCCCATGGCGTGAGGAACATCGTGTTCAGCAGCTCTGCCACCGTCTACGGAGACCCCAGGTACCTGCCCCTGGATGAGAACCACCCGGTTGGAGGCTGCACCAACCCCTACGGCAAATCCAAGTACTTCATCGAGGAGATGATTCAAGATCTCTGCAAAGCAGAGAAGGTGAGGAGCTGCTCCAGGGCACTCAAGGCTGGGAACTGGGATCTCTTCCCACTGGAGCATTCTGGGGTGACCAGGCAGGGCCGTGCAGCGCTACCCCCTCCCCAGGCAGCCACGTTTGTGTCTCCCCAGGACTGGAACGCCGTTCTCCTGCGCTATTTCAACCCCATCGGTGCTCACGAGTCGGGCATGATCGGAGAAGATCCTCAGGGGATCCCAAACAACCTCATGCCCTACGTGGCGCAGGTACTGCCCCCGCTGCAGCTTTAGAGGACCCCTGGGCTGGCTGTGCCTGCGTGGGGCACAGGCTGACAGTGTTCTCGTGGGCTTGTCCCTCTGTGCAGGTGGCAGTGGGACGCCGAGAATTCCTGAGTGTGTTTGGGAATGACTACAAGACGGTCGATGGAACTGGTACGACACAGAATGGGTGGAGCAGAGACACCCCGTCCCCCGGGGCAGCCAGTGCAGCTCCCTAGCAAAGCCACACTCGGGGCAGGGGGGATTTGCACTCACCCTCTGTGTTCCCACAGGAGTCAGGGATTACATCCATGTCGTGGATTTGGCCAAGGGCCATATTGCTGCTTTGAAGAAGCTCAAGGAGAACTGCGGCTGCAAGGTACCAAGAGGGTTGTTGTCGG